ATTCCTTTTGTCAGGCAAAGGCCGAACGAGAAATTTAAGGTTCCAAAAGTATTTTTCCATTTTATGTTAATTCTTTTGCTTTGCACACTCATACAACTTTCACTTGGAAAAAACGTTATTCAATGGAAATAAATTGCACATGTAGGCTAAATATATACATAACATATTTGCAGTAATGTTCGTTATCATGGTTAGGCTACTCTATGGAAAGAAGCTGCAAAGCAAGAGACAAAAGTGTAAATTAATACGTAAGCCTATGCATTTAATAGGCACACATTATACATATTTTGTTGCATTTTTGTAACACATTAATTTGTGTGTGTGTGTGTGTTCTTGTATATGGTCTTATTTGTTGTTTGCTTGTTTTTAAAAAACAAGTTTGATGATGATGATATAATATAAATATATACACGGAAAAGTAAAATGTTCAGCATCTATGTTTAGTTTTTTTCAGTGGACTGGAGAAGAAAGCTGTGGCAATGCATGCTGGGACTGAAAGAAGTCTTTGAGCTGTGAACTTTCCCCCACTTATCCAAACAACTCAGTCCCAGAAAACCCTCAGCCTGAGACTGCTACATATGTTGAGGCGCACACACTCACACTAATGCAAACAAACACGCGTACACACACATGCTCTGTTTCTGTTTACTTCTATACCCTACACCAGCCCCATGACCCCCCTTCTCACATTGTTTGGGAAAAAGTGAACGAGTAAAAGTGGAGGTTTGCAGAGATTCCTGAGGGTTTTTTCTAATCTAAAATCACATGCAGGGGCTTAAACATTCCTGGCCCTTTATTCACAGAGAAATAAACTCTTGCTCTCCCCCTTTCTCTTTTTATAACCTACTGCATTCTCATGCCAAACTCCATATCTTCTATACCTTCAGTAGTCATAAAACTCCCTCTCCACCGGCTTCAATTTTTTTTTCTTATGTTTAAGGAAGCCAGATTTCCAGGATTTTTTTCTGTAGTCGTTCCCTGCTTGTTTTTAAAATCCTTGCACAATCGTATCACTCACGTAATTCCTAATCCTGTGACATGTTTAAAGATCCTAAATGAAAAGTTATGTAAAATATTTACACTAAGCACTGGGATTAGGAGCTGCACAGTAAACATTCCGTTCGACATATTTGTATCTGTCTGTCTCTCCCTGGAAGCTTCCCTTCTGTGTAGCCTGTACGTGGAATTTATGAAGTGAAGGTATTGTCTTTGTTATCAGAAGAAGTGACCTTTTAGTAGTTAAACTCAGCAGAAAACAGCAGTGTTAGCTCACTGAGGTAAACACACAATTCAGGGTCATTCTATGGGTGTCATATATATATATATAAACAATACAAACAAAAATCAAAAATATGCACAAAAATTACAATTATATATTTTATTTTCAGAATAATATAATATAATATTGATTATTACCAAGAATTTATATTATTTTATATATGTACACACACACAAAATATGCAAAAAATATTATAATTATATATTATATCATTATGAGAATAATATAATATAATAGAGAATCTAATTTAGAATTCATGTTATCATATTGAATAATATTATTTATTATAATATTTTATATTCTATTTTATTTATATTATATGTGTGATTATAATATTTTGTATTTTTGTTTAAATTATTTTATATTTTATATTTTTTGCAAAGTGTATTTTTGTATTTTGTGTAGTGAACAACTGATAATTGAGTGAGTATTATGCAGAATCAATATCAATTTATTGTAATGTATTATGTTTTGAAACTTTCAACCTTATTACCTTTTTGATAACATAATTATATCCTAACACTTTTAAAGCATGTATTCATTTATCTTAAGATTACAGAATGTAATTTAATAAATAAACACACTATTTGTCTTGTTTGGTTTCATAAAATGACTCCTAAAATGTTTTACAAATGCCGAATTAACAGCTAAACAGAACGACTATAAATGTCTACAAAGTGATCAAGGTGACATTTATTAAAATATCAAAAAGACAAATCAAAGGTGCTCTAGGACACTCAAAAGGGTGAGAGAAAAGGGAGGTGTTATATTTGATTGTTATATTTGAGTTTGATTTTGTATTTAACTGGATTTAGTTTGATTTAATCAAAGTATTTTTAGGTGTTGTCAAAGTAAGTTTACATAAGGCTTTCACAGCTGAACTGATTGTTTGACAGGCTCTCCCACTGTCTCTGTATCTAAACATGTAATACACAGGAAAGACTTGCAGATCTTTCATCTGATAAAACAGACACTAAGTCAGTCTGTCTGGGTGAGAACTGGAAAGTTAGGCCCACTTAATGGCTTAATAAAATATAGGCAGGGTCACGTTCACATGCATATAGCTTTACAGTCATAACTGTGGAAATGTCTTTGAATGGAATGGAAATGGGCTTCACTGCATGTGTCCTTTGGCAGCAAATGAACCATTGCTAGAATTCAGGCTTAAACACACACTCACAAACACACAAATGTGGCTTCCTAAACAGCCCTTCACAGAACAGGAGGAAATGGGTGGCAGTCCTGCTGCAGGATTGCATTTTAAAGCACACACCACAATACTGAGTATATCTGTATTATATCAAATGACTCAAATTTGTCAAGCTATTTACATTAATGATAAGCCTAGTTTGTGTGCATTAGTCAAAACTGAACAAACAATGATGCAACCGTTTAAAAAAGGTTTCAGATATAGATTTTTGGGGGAATCTGAGCTGAAACTAAATTGTTAACAAAAGCTAAAATAATAGTGAGACTAAAATATAAATAAAAAATCATTACCCGAAATGAAATAAAATATAATTTTATTGTAGCTAAATTTCTCATTTTCTTTTAGCGTAACTTGAATAACTAAATAAGTCAATTTAAAATCGAAATAAAATTAAGAAATATATAGACATGTTTTAAAAACAAAAACCTACAAAATGACAAAAACACAACAAAATTACTAAAACTAACTAAAATTAAAATGAACGTAGAAAATATAAAAATAAAAAGTAATTCAAAATATTAATAAAAACTACAATCGTATATGAATGGTCCTTAAATAACACTGGCATTTTCTGCAGATCTATCTGTGAACAGATGTGTGTGTGTGTTGGGGTTGTAAAATGTGTGCAAAATCCACTGACATGATTTTTAGATTGCATAAAACTAGATTGTCTCAGGAAGTTCACACCAGCACCATTTGGCCATTGCTAGGATACAGCATTGTGACCTCAGGGCTGATCAGTTGGCAATGTGATTGGCTGATTTTCTCTCTCCTGATGACATCACGTTGTTGCTGGGTGAAATTAAACTCTGGTGGCAGGGAAGAAAAAAGACAACTTGACAGTTTGGGTTTCTTTTTCAACCAAGATCCATGCGGATTTTCTTGACTTAAGGGTTTAATGTTTAAGGATCACCATGGAATTTGCTGACTAAATGCTAAAGCACCGCTAACATGTGCTGTATGTTGCCCTGTCATGCTTTTAGAAGAAAAACTCCCTAACTTGAAACTTGAAGTTGAGTGACATTTTGCAATCTATTTGAACAACAGAACATCACAGCATGAACAAGTTTATGTAGGCCGGCATTCATTTCATCTGAACTCTCCAACATCAGTCTGAGATCATAGGAATGTTTTTAGTAGCACACCGTGGGCTGCTTTCATGAACCCATGGACCAAAATCCTGCTGGGTTTGGCTTGTGTCCACACCGTCTGATGGTCATTCCGCTCAGTCAGCAATTTCCAACTCTATTCAAGGCTCCTGTTTGCATATACTGTAAAAAGACAATTGAGTTGCGTCCCCTGCACTCCAGACAATGACTGTTTGAACAGCCATGCTTATTTTTCCTAGAAAATAAAGCAGTCAATGCATATTGAAAGAGAGCAAATGTGTTTCAGAAGCAGTTTAGGAAAAATATAGAGATAGTGAAATCTAATCAGACATCTTGCAATACACTGTTTTATTAGAGGTTATATGAGCCATTGACCTCAGCACAGACATTTCATTGCGAGCTGTTAAGTCATAAAACATTCAGCCCCTGCCTGCATACAAAATAATTGAATAGTTTAACACTGTACATGAAAAAAATATACAAGGCCCTTCACAGATAGTCTTACATTTTTTGATATGCAGCACACTTAAAGTGAGAGAAACATGTCTGGACAAGAGAGAAAAAGTTGGAGGGGGCAGTGGCTCGTGAAGAGAATAGCATTGCGATGTCTGATTATTTTTTAGCGAATTGGTTCTTACGGGTGGTTAAAAAAACCGATTCTTTTGAGTCATCTCTCAAATCTTGAAACATTTTAAACAAAACACAATGAATTTGTGATATATTTGTGATGTTTATATCTACAATAATGTGATAATGACAGTAGGCTACTATTGTTTTGTTACTAATGTTTTAGAGTATAGGCTTGTACTTCGCAACTAGCGGAGAATTTTTTTTTGTTCATAATAGATAAAAGTAATATTATTAATGATTGGCAATGTTAATATTACTTATTCTCGATATATGTATTTATATATATTTTTTCAATCTCACAGGTTTACCCAAACGAAGTCATCAGTTGAGTGATTCACAAGCGCGTTACGAATCGGTTCACAAGAGTGATTCACTCGGGAGTCGGATAGAAGGAGGCCAGCTGAGGGGGCGTGTAGCGCACGTTCATGTTGAAGAGCTCTGCGCACTGCGAAGGGATACGGAGGAGTCTCCAGTACTCCTTCAGGTCGTGATCGTCCTTAAAGGGGCTGGCAGCGGACATGCCCAGACCAGTACACCGTCACTAAGACCGGGATTCAGCTCTTCGCATGGTTTAAGCTTGCCAGAATGAACGGAACCACAGACATCTGCAACCACTGCCGGAACATAATCAGAGAAAAGGTAACGTAATTCTTCGTGTGTTTATGCATCAAAACTTTTATTCTTATATATATATATATATATATATATATAAATACTGTATATATAATTTCAGTCACACGTGTTCCTTAAACATCGGACATGCCCAGACCAGTACACCGGGATTCAGCTCTTCGCATGGTTTAAGCTTGCCAGAATGAACGGAACCACAGACATCTGCAACCACTGCCGGAACATAATCAGAGAAAAGGTAACGTAATTCTTCGTGTGTTTATGCATCAAAACTTTTATTCTTATATATATATATATATATATATATATAAATACTGTATATATAATTTCAGTCACACGTGTTCCTTAAACATGCATTTGATCCTGATGCATAAAATCTTGGTGCATTTGGTTTGTAGTGTAATGTATGGTTTGTGCATGACTATCAGACATTTCTGTATCTCTGGCGACCCAGAGAGGTTTACTTAGTCACCTATATTACTTTATTTCTTTAAACTATGTATGTTTTTTTAACTGATAGATAATTGGATTAATAGTTAAATACAACCGTGACCACACATATAGTCTTATGTATGCTTTACATATATTTTCCAATGAGTGTATTTGCAAAAATTATATAAATTATATATATTTGCAAAAAGTGATGTGTAACGTTATGTATCATATGATAACCTCTATATATAGTATATATGATAACCTCTTTTGTGAGGAGTAATTGAAAGTTATGTCTATCTGTACACACACACACACACACAGTTAATCATAGTTTAAATGGTAAGCATTTCAAAACATTTTGATAACCTCTTTTGTAATGAGTAATAGAAAGTTGTGTGTGTGTGTATATATATATATATATATTTATAGATAGTATATATGCTAACCTCTTGTAATGACTAATAGAAAGTTATGTCTATCTATCTATCTATTGATTTTTGTGACATAAGGTTTAAATAGTTTAAATGGTAAGCATTTCATCATACTTTGATTGTATCAGAGGCTAACTTAGTGACCTACTCATCTCATCTGAAATCCTGCTATCATCCCTATCTCTTTTCTTTGGCTGGAAGATGATATTTTTAGCTGTCATTAATCATGTTGACCACATGTGACCTACTTCTGCTCTGCACATCTTCCTCTCACATACACCCTGCCAAAAGTTTTTGTAAATCAAACTGGACTTTAATACTGAAACATGAGCTGGCATTTATCAGATTGAACTGTTGGCTGAAGGCTTGCAAGCTCTTTGTTTGATTTTCATGTCTATAACAGCAGCCGGGAGCAGATACTGCGAGTTATCCTGTGGCTGTATGCAAACCTGTATTTTGAGTGCCTGACACAATATGTGTGTGTTTGGATAAAGCCTGTTATATGAGAATGGTTTGGGGGATTTGTGGTCAGTTTGTCATGCCGACAGGGTTCTTTATTACCCGTTTCACTGGTTGTTGTCATAACTCATCAGCATGTCTTCTCACCTGTTGCTCTCCATGGTTGTGATCATTCAGTTGAAACCCTTCTTTGCCCCGCCTTGACCTGCAGAAAAATAATGCTATTCATAATTAGAGTCAAATTATAACCAATTATTTCCAATTAGAACACAAAGAACATTTTATGCTCTAGTTCTTTACACCACTGCATTGGTACATTAAAGGAATATTTCACCTAAAAATTAAACTTACCTCAAAGTTTCAGAATCAGAACTCTTGACTGGGAACTCAGAATTTCTTAATTCCATGTACTAATGGAATGCACCATTTCCTGCCGAGAAGAAACTCTGTTCGGCGTCTCGATTGAAACCCAAGGTGTGTCCGTTACGTACTTATGCACTAGTCAATGCCGTTTTGTAGTATATAGTGTGAGTAGAGTGTTCACACTGAAAATTCCAAAAAGAAAAAGTGCACTTAAATAGCCGAAAAAAAACAGTGTGGAATGTTGGACACTTCATGCACCCAACTGTTGCAGCTTTAATTATGTAGTGGAGGAGGAGGGGCTATCAGACTCAGATTATGAATGACAAAATAAGTAGTCTCAGCCTCAGACGTCACGCCCACTGACTGTTGGCTGAACGTCTGATGCATACGGCACACAAAAGTGGAAACACTTCAGGAGTTTCGAAGTCGTCATCGGATTGGTTGAATTATACAGGATTTCCGGGAGACGTGTGTGTCGCGTTCTTTAACGTTCCACCTGGAAACAAAGATGCCGTGGCACCAAACCCCTTCACGAAAGAAGAAAGCCGTCGTGTTTACAGCAGTGACGATGAGCGCTTATCAGGATCAACTAAACGCTGGATTCTCAAAAGTATGTGAAATATTTCAAGTTCGCGTCATAGAATCTTTAAAATATGTCAGAGAGTTTTACACACCGGTCTGTTATTATTGCGACATTTCCACGCCCCGAAGCGTGACGCTGAAACAAAATGAACTGTGATTGGTTGTTTGACATGTCGGTCAAACGTCCTCATGGGCGGGCCTTGGCCAATGAAAGCTACCATGAATTCCAGACCTTCAGCCGTCAGTCTGAAGGTCTGGCTACGCAAGACTACAAAATAAGTAACCTTATATAGTTCATACACTACACGGTTGAGTTGTATAAGTACCTAGTGCATAGTGCGTCATATGAGAGATGCAGCTCCAGACATCCCATCAAATTCCACCATCTTGTAAAAGCACGCTACTGCATGTTTTGGCACATTTTCAAAATTTGGCTTGCACTTCTGTAACCAAATCTGAATTTAATTTCCCATGTAACACATCCGCCATGTTCCCACCTCGGCTAAACAGCATCTGGCTCAGCATGCTACAGTAGCCATGCCCCCAAACTCTTGCGATTGGTTAAGCTGGAAAGAGATTGACGGAACTGAGCTTTTAATCGCTTTTAAATATTTTGATGGTGCCTGGGAGGCTCAATATTTACACTTTTCTGGGATATAAACCCATGAATGGCATACTTATGGTTAATAAAGAATAAACTGGGGTAAGAGAATGTATTTTGACATAAAAATCTTATAAGCAACTCAAGACTCACATAGAGCAAAAATGATCTCTCTTATAACCCGATCCCATACCACCTGTGTTGGTTCATATTTACCTGTCTTTATTCCTGTTTGCCGTCACACGCTTCAGTGAAAAAGCAACAATGGCTCTACTGTGGAATTGAACAGCAGCAAAACTGTGACTTGCATCGACGCAACCAGTTTTGTCTTTCAATGTTTTCTTGCTTGAAAGAGAGACAGATAGAAGCCCCATATAAATTGTGCTGCTGAGTTTTGCTGATTCAGCAGCTGACACACTTCCTGTTCCTCCAGCTGCCGTGTGCGCTGGTGTGACATAATTGACCAATGAATCGCACTGCCCCGTTACCACATAGTGACCCATCGGGGACAGCATCAGTGACTGTACGTTCTGTAGTCATGTTTGAGCAGAGATCTGTGGGTAGACATGAGAACTACAAATACTCCAAACCACTAATTGAGTGAGGACGCAAGTGCCGGCTGGGCATATCTGTCACGGTGCCACCAGCCATCTGATCAAGCAAAACTAAAACCTGTGCATTCTGCCAGTGTTGCATAATCTTTTATGAGCTTAATGGCATCATTCAAGGGCCACAGACTCTGACGCAATCAAGTGATCACCAGGGGGAGGATCCTCATGAGAGAAACAGTAATGCTATTGTGTAAAAATAAATTTTTAATGTCCTAAAAGTGCATATTTGTTTTTATTTACTATATTTTTGATTTATTCAGTTGATTTCATGCACAATCTGTTGATGTACAATAATTGCACAATAATGAAATTTATTTGATCTGAAATTGAGGTTGAATTTAAACTTTGTGCTTTTGGTTAGAAGTTTTGCGATTTAAAAAAAAAAAAAAAACATCTTTAACATGTAACCCACCCACACCATTTGTGCTACAGCCATGACTGATACATGCAGTGTTTTCAGGACAGTGTTATTTATTTTAGTATTATTTATATATTATTCTAGTATTTATTTATATTTTGTATTAGCCTATTTTTATATTTACATTTGAGTTTGAATTACACTTTAGTAATTTTATGTGCTCGTCATTTTTATTAGTTTTCTTATGTTTCTAATTTATATTATTTATACAGTATTTATTTCAGTTTTTGTTTTACAAATTTTTAGTACCTCAACTTAAACTTATTTTATTTCAGTTTGTTGCTAAGGCAACATTTCAAATGTGTACATTTAAAAAAAATTTTTTTTTTACTTTAATTTAAGTTTTTCATATACATTTTATATTTTATTTCAGCTTCATTTCCATTATTTAAATTGTTTAATTGGTTTATTGTAAAACACATTTTGAGTGCTCTGCTGTGAAAATATGAATATTAAGACACTATAAATTACACATCATCACGCTGAATTTAAAGTGCCTCTTTTATGGGTTATGAAAGGTTCATATTTTGGTTTTGGGAGTCCCCAACCGGGGAAACCGCTATTCTACCGCTCCAAAAGCGGCAACTAGTGGCAAAGAATGAATTTGCATTTAGACCAACGCGAAAAGACCAACAAGTTGGCGGGCAATATGCTAATGTTTCATGTTGACGTCAAAACGGCTTGGGATTCGTTTTAAAAACGACTCGTTTCAGTGATTCAGAGTCGACTCTTTCTTTTGAGAGACAATAACTTTATACACGGTGCACTTTAAGATTTAAAAATTTGCAGGATTTTTTTTATTCACCTAGAGCTGTGTTACACACTGCATGAAAGGCCATTTTCAAAAATCCATAATAGGGGCACTTTAATTTATCCTTATTCTTGAAGAACTCGGAGTAATCCCCAGTAAACCGCTCCATAATAACCCTTCGTTCTCTCATTACATCCCATTAAAAAAAAACTTCACTGGAGATCAAACCTAATCCTCACTGAGACACTAAATATTTGTTAACATTTATATCGTTATGTCATCTCTCGCTCTCTTTCTCCCTCTCTTACCCTTCCTCTTCCATATTTTATCCATGTCTCGGACTCTTTCTCTCTCTTTCTACAAACTCAGTAAGAGTAGGCCTGAAGAAACACTCATTTGTTTAAACTGAGCACAAAAGTGGACTTATGTAATTACTGTATATGTGTGTGATTTTGTTCTACACCCACCTTTGCTGTCATGGAGAAAAATATTTCTGCACTTTCCCCCAGAACATAAGACACGACCAGTCCCAGACAGACCCACATTTTTACCCTCTTCGTCTCTTTAAAACGCACTTGCACTTCTCGTCTCTTTGGCTGAAGGCAGAGCACCAGGTCTTGGAGGGGAAGGAAGCATATAGGATTCTGGACAGCTATTTTGAATCAAAAGCTTGACTGGGCAAAAGCAGAATGCTGGAACAATAGAATCCTGTAATACATAAAGCCAGACGTGTCTAAAGGCAAGAGAACTGTTCAGACACCTCTGCTGTAATCCAGAGTCGATTTGAGCATTGAGAACAGACTTACGAAGATCAAGGAGTGGCTGTTCGAGGCTTAAAACCACAACCTTGATTTTTATGAAATGACCTGTACATACAGTACAAGCATAAAAACCACCCATATAAAAATTAACAGTGATAAACACAAATGAACAATATTTAGGTGGTAACTTTATATTTGCTGTAGTAGGTTTTATTTAAGCATGAAACAAGTAGTTAAAACCATGAAACCATAGTTATAGTACTATGCTTATTGTACTATTTACATGGTAAAAGTGGCAATACTCCATGTAATTGCAAAAGTAGCATGGAAATGCCATATTTAAAAAATGGTGTTTTTCTGACAAAATACTATAGTTAATAAAATTATATTTAGAACAGTTTTTCACCAAAAGATATATAATATGAAAGAGACAGTAAAAAGTATAATTATAGTTTTTTGGTGGGAAACTGGTTACTATGGTCAAATTTTGTAAGGCCTCAAGTTTTTTAATTAACAATAAAATTCTTACCATTACCAACAATAAATTATTTTTGTATTTCTGTTCATCTATGCCACTGAATAAAAGGTAAAAAATGCAATGTGACTTTTTAGCTCACAATTCTGTCTCTCGCAATTACGAGTTTACATCTCGCATTTCTGACTTTTTTGTGTGATATAAAATTGCAATTGTGTTATAAAGTCAGGATTGCGAGATATAAATGTGCAGCTCTGAGAAATAAATAATTTTTCAGAATTGTAAGATATAGACTTGCAATTGCGAGTTATAAAGTCCAATTTTGAGGAAAAATGTTTCTCAGAATTGCACAATTATATCTCGCAATTCTGAAGAAAATGTTTTTTCCCCCCTCAGAATTGGGGTGTATAACTGCAAGTATTTGTCTCACAATTCTGAGAAAAGTCGTCACAATTGTGAAATATAAACTTGGAATTGCAAGAAAAATTGTGAAAAATGTATATCACACAATCCTGAGGGAAAAACAAAAATCATAATTTGACATTTTGGTTATGATAAATTGGTATTTGGTTCTTTGCCTGTACACTGAAAAATATAATGTATAAAAGTTTTACTCAGAAATTGCTAGTAAATTTCACAAACAGTTAAAGAAACGGCCAGTAACACATTGAATTAAACATGTACATTTGAAGTAGAAAGACTGAAATAGTATTTTCCTGTAAAACATACTCCAATTATATTGGTTTTAAATAAAAATTAGATTTTTTTTTTTTTTTTTTTTTTACAGTGTAGACCAGGGGTGTCCAAACTCGGTCCTGGAGGGCTGGTGTCCTAAAGAGTTTAGCTCCAACCCCAATTAAATCACACCTGAACCAGCTAATCAAGCTGTTACTAGGCATACTAGAAACTTAAAGGCAGGTGTGTTGAGGCAAGTTTTTTTTTCTTTTTTAAAAAGAGCATCTTTAAATCTGGACACTGTCCCAGACTGATTGAGGAAAACGCTGCTTCTATCCATGGACACTCATGCTGCTGTCATGACAACAGAATCGTTACCATGGTGCTGCAGAATGACAGTGTTAAAGGGGTCATATGATGCAATTTAATTTTTTCCTTTCTCTTTGGAGTGTTACAAGCTCTTGGTGCATAAAGAAGATCTGTAAAGTTGCAAAGACTAAAGTCTTTTTTTTTTACTTTAAACCGCATAAACACATTTCATTACACCAAATACACAAAATAATGTTCTTTTTAGCAGCATCATATGACCCCTTTAAGCATTATCAGTGCTGATAGTATGCCACGTTTTGATTGGCCGGGAGTGGTGATGCATTTTCAAGGTGCAGGTCACAGTGGTAACAGTGCTGTATCAATGTTTCCGTGTGATCTCAAACAGATCTGGACGGCAAATCATTGCAGCCTCATTGCAAATACACACAGACTTTACACACGTTAAGCATAGAGAACAAACTAAATGGATTAAATTAGTCTCACATATCCTGTGGTTCTCCCTCTGTCTTATCCATATCTCTTCTCTCTCGCATTTTGTTTGACTTTATGTAACACAGATGAGGGAAATACTTCTTGTGAAGTTGAAGACTTTTATAACGGGTATGCCTTGTAAAAACATACACTAATACCACCATTCACAAATCGAGGTCAGAAAGATTTTTTTTTTTTTTAAATAAATTAATTTTATTCTGCAAGGATCCATTAAATTGTTCAAAATGTTATATAATGTTACAAAAGATTTCTATTCCAATAAATTGTTCTTTTGAACTATTCATCTCATAGAATCCAGCAAAAAAATCTATCACAGTTTCTACAAAAATATTATGCAACAACTATTTTTAACATTGATAATAATAATAATAAATATTTCCTGAGCAGCAAATCAGCATATTAGACTGATTTCTGAATGATCATGTGGCACTGAAGTAATGTAGTCTTCAGTGTTTATCCTCGACTTTAAAAAGTATAAGTTGTCTAATATTTACAATTTATTTCAGCTCTATTTGAATTAACAAAAACAATTTTTACCATTTTTCATTAATTAGTTTTAGTTAGCAGTAACAACACAGCTGTACACACACTGTGAATGGGTTTCAGTTGAGTTGGTTAACGCTGGAGGCTTCTCTTTCAAAAGCCTTTTCTGTATTTTTTCTCTCTTCTGACCTCCCTCTGTTTGCTGCTTGTCCTCTTTGTTTGTGCAGTCTATTTACTTTCTTTATTTAATAGGTAGAGTCTTGTTCTCTTTCAGAAGAGCAGCGAATGTAAGAAACCAACAAGCCTAAAACAAAACTCTCCTTGTCTTTGTGTTGCTCAATCTTTCCTCCCACAATTTTTCCTCCAACATCCTTGGAAAAACAACTGTGCAAATTAAAAAAAAAAAAAAAAATTCACGTTTAGGACCTTGTGCATCGGATTTACCACTAAAATATATGTCTGGTTGTGCAGACCCTTATTAGTTCTAGGTGAGTGTTATATAAACAGCAGAGGTTTCCAACAAGGCTGCAGAGTGGAGGCAAAACACTTCTGACCGTAAATACAACACTGTTTGTGTATATGTGGTGGTTGGGGGTGGGATATCCTGAACAAACCCAAATCCTGAAGAGAAGGAAGGAAGGATAGATAAATTGAAAGGGAGGGTTAGAATGACAGGGAAAGAGATTTGGTGTGTCCAGGTCTTGGGCCACTGAACTGAAGTGACCCTTATACCCGTGGCATTATAGCCAGTGTAGCGAACACACACAAACACCACACACATAAAACACACACACAGTTTTCATGGAACTCTTACCTTTCGCTGTAACAGGAACAACAAAGACTGGGAGGGACTTTTCAAAATAAACCAGGGAGACGCAAAATCGACCTGAAAATCAATGTTGTGCTCTTTAAAATATATACATTAAACACACTATGATACTTTTGTTGGAATATCTCCTGAATTTCCTTCTCTTTATGTTTGTTAAACAATTTCTGAGGCATTAGTGTCTCTGAAAGAATGACTGCTTTCAAACAGGTTTCACCTGCCTGCCATTAGTTGAATAAACAATTAGCTCCGCCCCCAAACTCAAACCATTGGTTGAGCCACTGTTGCTGTGCGGAATTAAGCTACAGATGGCTTACTTGTATTTGTCTCTGCCTATTAACCTGAGACTGGAGAAAGTATTTTAACATAAAAAAAACACACTTCAGTAAACATTTTTTATTTGATCGTTTTGTCAGGATATTTTCTTCATATTCATCATCATTATGTTTTCCTCAGGAAAAAGGAATGAAGATGTCAAGACACATATCAACAGGACCAAGCTCATTTATTCCAGAAAATGAGGTAATACTTAATTTCTACATTTACCATGGTATTACTATGATATTCTTTGAAATGTACTACCGTTCAAAATTCCGTTAAGATTTTTTAATATATTTGAAAGAAGTCTCTTATGCTCGCCAAGGCTGAATTTATTTGATCAAAAAACAGTAAAACAATAATACTATGAAATATTATTACGATTAAAAAATGGTTTCTATACGATTAAAAAATTGTTTGACTATATTTTAAAGTGTAATTTTTTCTTGTCATGTAAAGCTGAATTTTCAGCATCATTACTCCAGTTTTCAGTGTCACAGGAGTGTGTCTAGCAGTGCCATGTAAATACCATGGTGTATTACTAAAGCATTCTTTCAATACCATAATATATGTCAAAGTTCCACACTTTTTTTGTAATGGAAAATTCTTTCTTTTCTTTTATCACACATTCATTCAATGCAAGTGCACCCAACTCAGATACTGTAATCGTTCTTTCTTGGGTCAGCTGGTGTTCATTTCATTTTTGTTTTGAGTTCAATTGGTTCAGAGATTATTTTCATTGAATCCGAGTTAAGCGTGCCAGGAGATGTAAGAAAGTGTATTTAGATTGTAAATTGAATTATAGCATCTGCCCTCACTTTGCTGAATTAAGATGAACCTGAACTAGAGTTCAAGAGTTCTTGGCTCTGATTCATTGCATTACATGTTAGTGCCTTCTCACATGACAAAATCTGACAGACCACTTATTTAATTTGTATTATCATCTGACCAGAGTACTTTTATGTCAGGAAAATACATACAGTCTGATGTCTGATCCTCATCCCAGATCATAGGAGCCATGCCTCTGAGTGACTCCACAGTGATGTTCTTAGACGAAGAGTTCAGTGGTCGTATGGACAACCTGACGCAGGTGATGGGGCTTCACCCGCATTATCTGCAAGCATTTCTCCGCTGCCACTATTATCTCCTGAGGATGGACGGCCCACTACCACTCCACTACAGGCATTATATCGCTATAATGGTACAAACTTACAAAAAACACTTTCAAAAGAGACTTTATTTAACTGGAATCATTTTATGAGTGATTTTTTTTTCATCTTTTCCAGGCTGCAGCACGGCATCAGTGTTCCACGCTGGTCTGTCAGCATGTGCAAGAGTTCGAGCAGATAGGTGTCTGTTCTGATTGGCTGAGAGGTCTGGAGTTCTGCCCACAACGACTTCGCAACCTCAACGAGATTAACAAGATCCTCGCGCACAGACCTTGGCTCATTACCAAGCAACACATACAGGTAAAACACTAGCTTTCTTGCTTATTGTTCAATATACACTAGGGCTGCATGGTATATGAAAATAAAATTGTTTATAACTTAGTGCGATTGTCAAAATTGTGCAGACTGTGATTTAAATAAAAACGTTACCTTAATGGCACTGCTCATACACATGCTTGCAGCCCATGATACAGTGCTTCAGCTTTTCAGAATGGCTTGGTTTATTTACTGTGAATCAAGCCAATTTGAGACACTGAAAACACCGGATCACGAGCTGCCCGCATACAGAAGAACATAGTCTGAGCTTCACTCTAAAATCAGCAGTGCATACATCTATTGCTAGCAACCTGTCAAAATAAAAGCTTAATGGTTTAACGTTTAAGAAAAATGAATCGAGACGTAAATATTAGTATTGTCAATTTACAGTTGTACTATAAAATAAAATAATTTTTTATTAAATACTTAATTTTTTATTTTTACATTACAACAATGACAATATTGCAATAAAACCACAATTATTATTTATAATCAATTTATAGAAAACAGCACCAATTTTGGATTTTTTTACTATTTTTTTAAACTTGAGTTGGTTATTGTAAAGGGTAAACCCATGTGTGAACACCCCAAAAAAAAAAGTTTTCCCAATCACTTAGGTCTAAAAATAGTTTTTCAGCTTTTTAAAAAATTATTATTTAAATTTTGCACTCCACTGCAAGATCACCCCACTCATTCTAGAATGATTAACTCTTTCCACATATAGTTATTCAAGTCATCTGGAAAACATTTCTGTATTTTTATATAAATTGCAGAAAAAATAATTCAGCAATGTCAGTTTTTTCCAGTATCGTGCAGCCCTAGTATACACAGAATTGTTTTAGCATTATGCAAGCATTATGCAACAAAAAACATTTCAAACTGTAGTCCATAACATTTGTTGTCACTATATGCTTGTTTAATTCAGAGGGTGCAATGAATATCTTGTAAATAAAAGTTTTGCATTTTCAATCCAGTTTTGTGTTAAAACATCTTAATTCTTAGTCAAATCAAACACTGAGTCAAATAAGATGTTACGTCCTGGTCATTCCTTACCTTGGAAATCAAGTCAATGCACTTGCATTGTGGGATACAACATTCCATGTAGTCCACTATGTTTTGGGAAATGCATGTCGGAAAAAGTGCATAGTACACATTTATAGTAGAAATAGTAGCATAGTATGTTAGCCTTCTGGCGTTACAGGACCCTATGTAGGTGAACACATACAGTATCTTGATATACAGAGTCTTGATCAATGTTGTATTGTTCATTATATTTGTTGAAATCATAATTACATCAAATGTCAATAATCTTACGCTCTCTGTTTCTCAGGCTCTGGTGAAGACAGGAGAACACAGCTGGTCTCTGGCAGAGCTGGTTCATGCGGTCGTACTGTTGGCACATTTCCATGCCTTGGCTAGTTTTGTGTTTGGTAGCGGTGTCAACCCTGACCCTGAGGTCACAGAGGTCAACGGGGTCACGGATGACCTTTGCCCTCCAGCCATGGTGGGTTTATGCACCTGCCACCTAACAAACAGCAACCAAGCCAACGGGAACCCCGTGTGTAACCCTGACACTGGGGTAGGAAAACATTACAACGTGTCCTTGTGTTGTTTTTGTATTTTTATATCAGGAAAACATGTTCAGATCGTATTTGACCAAGTTAAAAAAGTAATTATATTCTGCATACAGATTCTTGTTACTGTAAAACAGTATTTTAATGTATTAAAGTTAAAAAAAACATAGTGTATGCTTAATTTCCATGAAAATATTTTTACAATGCAAAAAAAAACAAAAACATTCTTATACAGGCTTCATTTAGTTAATTCAAAAAATTATGTGGAATATATACATATATATTGTATAAATAATGTATTATATCATTATTTTATAATTATTTTATGTACAATAATTATGTATGCGTGATTCAATATTTGTTTGGACAATTTTGTTATATACAAGTAGCATTTCATTTTTGAACTCTATTTTTGTGTATTTCAGAGTGAGCTGGAAGCTCTGATGGAGAGAATGAAGCGATTGTTGGAGGAGAGAGAAGACGATGATGCGTCAGAAGAGGAGATGTTCACTCGTTTTGAGAAAGAAAAGAAAGAGAGTCTTCTAGTGGTGTCTGCAGGTATTACAACACAGATACCTCCTACCCGACAGCTCTTTTTCAGTTCATAGTAGGGCTGGGCGATATAGCTAAAAAAATGTATCAACGATATAATGTTTTATATCGTTTGGTATCGATAATTATTGACATTTTTTATAACCTTTTAAAAAAAAAAAGAGCAATAGAAAAATACGTTTAAATTTAACCACTGTATTTTTAAATTAACCCAATTTATTGAGACAAACAACAACAATTTTTTTGTTTTAACAGTCAAACACAAAATTTTTTCTATCGTTATCGAAGAGGGTGTACCGTCGATAAATATATCGATACCGTTTTATCACCCAGGCCTAGTTCATAGTACATCTTTTCTTTCATAATGAAAATATTACATGCTAATAAAAGCTGAAACTTCTACATATACTTACACTAAAACAGTACGAGACTGTTTCCCTTTCTTTTTGTTTCTTCTCTATTTCCTCCATTTTGTCCGTTCCCCCCCTAATTTCCTTCGCTTTTGGTCTTGTGGTAAATCGTGAATTAAAGGGATAAATTACCAAAATGAAAATTCTACCATTGTGTACTCAGCCACATGCCGTTCTAAACCTGTATGAATGTATTTGCCTTTTGTCATAAAGGACGTCAAACTAAGCATGACCAGTCGACGTGCCGTATTTGAACCATTCCTTGAAAACAAGAAAGGATCTAGCTGTCTTTAGTCTGAAGTACTTGTATTAAAATATTGTGATTTTCATATGCAGGGTTTGATGAGGAAGTGGTGCCTCCTTCTCCCGTGGCTCGGTTTGTAGACGACCCGTCGTTTGGGTACCAAGACTTTGCACGACACGGAGAAGACAACCCACCCACTTTTAAAGCACAAGTATGACAAACACCCTCAAATTTCCACATATACAGCATTATTGTTTTTATACCCCACTGAGAGTGAATGATTGATCATTCTGTCTTGTTCACTCTGTAGGACTACTCATGGGAGGATCATGGTTTCTCTCTGGTGAACAGGTTGTACTCTGACATTGGTCACCTTTTGGATGATAAATTCAGAACGGCATGTGATCTTACCTATTACAACATGGCCAGTCACGAGGGGGTGGACACCAGCATGCTGCGCAGGGCTCTCTTCAACTACGTTCACTGTATGTACGGAATACGGTACGTCTGTGAACACAGACGACACTCATAAAACTCTGCTAATGAAAAAGAATTAGCAGTCTCACATCAGGAATCAAATAAAAACAAAAAA